AATGGCTTCAATGGTGAATCTACCAAACATTTAGAGAAGAGTTAACACCTATCATTTTCAAGCAATTCCAAAAAAAAAAAATGCAGATAAAGGGACACTTACACATTCATTCTACCAAGCCAACATCACCCTGATACAAAAAAAAGAAAAAGAGATATCACACACAAAAAGAAAATTACATGCCAATATATCTGATGAACATGAATACAAAAATCCTTAACAAAATATATGCAAATGAAATTCAACAACAAAGTAAAAGAATCATATACCATGATCAAGTGAGATTCATCCCAGGGATGCAAGGATGGTTCAATATCCACATGTTAAACAAACTAAGAAAATAATCCCATTTAAAATCACATCAAAAAGAATAAAATACCTAAAAGTAATTCTAGCTGAAGAAAAATACCTGTACTAGTAACTGGAAGACATTAATGAAATAAATTGAAGACACAAATGGATGGTAAAATGAAACTTGTTCACTGATTGGAAGAATAAATACTGTTAAAATGATCATACTACCCAAAGCAATCTACAGATTCAACTCAATCCTTATCAAAATACCAACTGCATTTTCATGGAACTGGAACAAATAATTCTAAAATTTGTATAGAAATACAAAAGACTCCTAATAACCAAAGCAATATTGATAAAAAAGAATACAGCTGGAGGTATCATACTCCTTGATTTCAAACTATACTACAAAGCTATAAGAATCAAAATGTATGGTACTGGCATAAAATTAGACACATAGATCAATAAAGCAGACTAGAGAGCTAAGATATGAACCCACACTTATATAGGCAACTAATCTATGACAAAAGAGACAAGATATACAATGGGGAAAACAGAGCCTCCTCAATAAATGGTGTTGAAAAACTGGACAACTGCATGCAAAAGAATCTAACTGGGCTACTCTCTCACACCATGCACAAAAACAAATTCAAAATGGTTTAAAGACTTAAACGCAAGACCTGAAAACTTAGGCAATAACTTTCTGACATTGCTCTTGGTATATTTTTGGATACTGCTCCACAAGCAAGAGAAACAAAAGGAAAAATAAATGGGACTACATCAAACTAAAAAGCTATTGCTCAGCAAGGGAAACTATCATCAAAAAAGGCTACCTAGTGAGTGGGAGAATATGTTTGCAAATGATATATCTGGTAAGGAGTTAGTATCCAAAATTCACAAAGAACTCATACAACTTAACATCAAAACACAAGCAATCTAATTTTAAAATGGGCAGAGGATTTAAATAGACATACAGGATCTGAAAAGGAGACATACAGATGGCTAACAAGCACATGAAAAGATGCTCAACATCACTAATCAATAGAAAAATGCAAATCAAAACCACAATGAGCTCACCTCACACCCATCAGAAAGCTATTAGCAAAAAGACAGCAAATAGGAAGTATTGGCAAGGATATAGAGAAAAGGGAGCCCTCTGCACTGTTGGTGTGAATGTAAGCTGGTGCAGCTGCTATGGAAAATAATGTGAGGGTTTCTCAAAAAATTAAAAATAAAACTACCATATGATCCAGTCACAGATGTGAAAGGTACAGTGTGGGGACTATAGTCAATAACCATGTGGTATCTTTGTATGGTGACTGATCATAACTAGATAATCATGATATGGAAATACTGAATCATTATGTTGTGTAACATGTGCTAATATAGTATTGTAGGTCAATTACACTTCAAAAACAAATGAAAATTATACTTCAAAAACAAACTCATAGAAAAAGAGATCAGATTTATAGTCATCAGAGGAAGAGGTTGCAGTGAGGGGGAATTGAATGAAGACAGTCAAAAGGTACAAACTTCCATTTACAGGACAAATAAGTAGTAATGATGCAATATACTGGGTTGGCTAAAAAGTTCATTCAGTTTTTCCATAAGATGTTATGGAAAATCCAAAGAAACTTTTTGGTCAACCTAACACATGACGAAGGTAATTAGTACTGCTGTATATATTATATATAAATGTTGATAAGAGTAAGTCCTATGAGTTCTTATTACATTGATAATTTTTTTGTATTTTTTTACAACTTTGCATCTATTAATATATGCGTGAGTGTTAAGTCACTTCAGTTGAGTCCAACTCTTTGCTACTCCATGGACTGTAGTCCACCAAGCTTCACTATCCACAGGATTCTCTAGGCAAGAATACTGAAGTGGGTTGCCATGCTCTCCTCCAAGGGATCTTTCCCACCCAGGTATCGAACTTGCATCTCTTAAGTCTCCTGTATTAGCAGGCAGGTTCTTTACCACTAACACCACCTGGAAAGCCTGCAGCCATTTGCACCAAATCTCCTCTTCAAAGAACATGACTATGCTGCAATTTAGAGTCATTTATGTTTCTCAGTTTTAAAATAGATTAGTAACCTACTTCTAAGCACTTTAGCTCTCAAAGCTATTATGAATGTTAACTTATTTATAACTAATCTATGCTGGGCTTCCCTGTTGGATCAGCTGGTAAAGAATTCACCTGCAGTGTGGGAAACCTGAGTTTGATCTCTGGGTTGGGAAGATCCCCTGGAGAAGGGAAAGGCTACCCCCTCCAGTATTCTGGCCTGGAGAATTCTGTGGACTGTATAGTCCATGAAGTTGCAAAGAGTCAGACACGACTGAGTGAGTTTCACATGCTGGTGTAAAGCAAAGTTTTTTGATCTGTATATTTTTCTTTTGATTTTTTAAACTGGACACAGTTTCAATGTTTACTGAAAATTCAGTTGACAAAATAACAAAGCATTTGTATTTTTAAATGGGACTATTTATCCATGGACAGGAGGCCATGGAGAACCATATTTACCCACTTGCAACTGTATCCTGTGCATGTTCTGTACATAATTTATTCACCGCTTGGAGAGAAGATCAAAGTGAAAGCAATCTTGAAAGGTGATCATGTCATTTTTGCTTATCCCTGAGCTTAAATCAGTTTCTGTGTTCTAATCAAGTTAAGCCTTTTGCTGGACTTAGGTAATGCACTATGATCTATATACCTTCATAATGTGGTAAAGAATCCAACTGCAAAGCAGGAGATGTGGGCTTCATCACTGGGCTGGGATCAAATGGGAAGGAAATGCAAAATCACTCCATTATTCTTGCCCGGGAAATCCCACAGACGGAGGAGCCTGGCAGGCTACAGTCCATGTGGTCTCAAAGAGTCGGACATGACTTAGCAGCTAAACAACAAAGCAACATAGCTGATTTACAATATTGTGTTGTTTTCTGCCATACAGCAAAGTTAATCATTTAGACATATACACATATACACTTTTTTAGATTCTTTTCTCATAAAAGCTATTACAGAGTATTGAGTAGATTTCCCTGTGCTATATAGTAGTGTAGTATTAGTCACCTTGTTGTGTCCGACTCTGCCACCCCATGGACTGTGGCCCGCCAGGCTTCTCTGTCCATGGGATTCTCCAGGCCAGAATACGGGAGTGGGTTGCCATTCCCTTCTCCAGAGGATCTTCCCAACAGGGATCAAACCCAGGTCTCTTGCATTGCGGGCAGATTCTTCACCGTCTGAGCTACAGGGAAGATCCTGTATATAGAATAGTGCTATATAGTAGTTCTTAATAGTTATTTATTTTATGTATGGTAATACGTATAAGTCATTCCCAGTCTCCCAATTTATCCCTACCCTTTCCCCCTTGGTAACCATAAGCTTGTTTCCTATATCTGTGTCTCTGTTTCTGTTTTGGAAATAAGTTCATTTGTACCATTTTTTTAATATTCCCCATATAAGTGATATCACAAGATATTTGTCTTTGCCTGTAGTTCACACCTCCTCTAACCTCATTTTTCAGATACTTCTACCCTCCTTTGTACATTGTATAATCCTAACTCTGGACAAAATACTTTTCCGTTCAACCCTAATTTTCTTAATTAATTGAAATTTGGTCCAGCATATTCCTTGCTATGTTTTCCTATAGAAGCCTAACCATTCCAACTCCTTTCAACTTCATGAAAAAGTAGAAGGGATAAGCTTGCCCCTAGAGCCACCTCTAACCCACTGATTCATTGCTCTTTCTTCTTCACTTAAAGTTCACACCATTCCTGTTGGCTGAAAAAGAGTCAAGATACAAATGTGTTTTAAAATGCAACTGGTAGTTTAGTTGTGTCCAACTCTTGTGACTCCATAGACTGTAGCCTGTCAGGCTCCTCTATCCTATGAGAATGAAAGGATATAGGATTTTCCATATCCAATAGGATATGGGAAAATCTATGGGATTTTCCAGACCAGAATACTGAGTGGATTGCCATTTCCTTTTCCAGGGAATCTTCCCAACCCAAGGATCAAACCCTGGTCTCCTGCATTGCAGCCAGATTGTTTACCTACTGAGCTACCAGAGAAGCCACCAGCAGAATTAATCTGCTCAGGATACAAATGTATAGTCAGTTTATTACAAATGAGAGTAAATTTATTAGCCACAATAAAATAAGAAAACAAGGAAGACTTTATTTTTGCAGCAAACTCTTATTAACTGTAAGATATTATGGAGTCACTCAGAAATAGTTAGGTTTTTAAACCATGTGAAGTTTATATATTAATCTTCACAAAATTATTCCATATAATTGTCTTCTATAGAAATTATCTGTGGATTATATGGGTAGCTATTTCAAATAAATATAGCAATACATATAATGCCTTTTTAATTTTCCTAACAATCTACTATGGTTATATATGCTTTAAAGAAAAGGGAAAATCCTTTAAAGGGACAATAGATTTCAGGTAGACAAGTTGTAATTCACTCAAAACAAATTTTATTATATATTACTAATATAGCTAGTAGTAAAAGCATACACTGAGCCATGTTTTCCTTTATTAAAACCTTACAAAATTAAAGATTTCTAATTAGATTCATAATACCTAAATGTCATCCATGGTTAAATTTTGGCAAATGTACTTAAAACACTCAGTAAAAAGAGAGCTATATAGAATCTTTTATATATTATCAAAAATAGCATTAAAATTTTAAATGAGATTATTTAAAATATGGATTGTAAGTTCTTCTAATTTTCATTGAAACAGATTTAATCTTAACAGGTGAGTTGTTTTTAGTCCATGTGTCCCATCGAATTCCAGTTGTAAGCAACTTTCCAGAGAAGTGATGAATGCCATTCAGATTTGCGAGACCACACTGGCTGAACCACCAGCCGGTATTGTTACTGAGGTGGCTGCAGCTCTTCACAGACTGATCACTGATGAAGCATGCAGGACGACATCCATCATTATCAACATCTGGTGTGCTGAAAGGCATTGCATTTTGATTATCTTCTTTTCTGAAGCCCCGGAATGCATCACCTGGGTAAAATAGATTTTTTTAATGACTAAATTTAAAGGCACTTTTCGTAATTTTAATCAACCTTTACCAACCAATAGTGAAAAAGCATTGCAGCTAAAACTAAGGCTTAAATTACTTTTTACTAGATATCAGATTAAAATCTCTCCTCCAGGAGCAATAGGCCAAAATCTGGTAATGAATTCCTCAACATAATAAACATCTTCAAGTGGACATGGCATGCATGCTAAGTTGCTTCAGTTGTGTCCAACTCTCTGCAACGCTATGGACTATAGCCCTCTGTCCATAGGATTCTCCAGGCAAGAGTCCTGGGTTGCCATGCCCTTATCCACAAGTGTACATTTTATGGCACAAATTACAGAGGTCTGTGATGGCCTAGGTAAAACTCTGCATATTATCAGTTAAGTTGAAAACTATTACATCTTCGCTAACTGTGTAAAAGAACCAAACAGTAGCAGTATGAATTGAATGATAGTTTCTTTTGTATTTTTTAAAAACAAATGAAACATGAAAATATATCTCACTTTAGGAAAGAAATGCCAAATAGAGTTCCCTAAATATGTCTTTATCAACTAGCCCATTTTGTGTTCTCTCTTTTCCTTTTTGTCCAAAGAAATCCTATATATAGCATGATATGGCACTTTTTAAATAGTGGAGTTTTTTCTGAATCTTTGAATCATGAAAGGGTAATGTAAACTTTGTTGTACATTCTCTTATCGCAGGGATCTGTGTTGCTCCTTCACCACACACCATCCTGCCCCCACTGCTCTATCCCCTTTATCTGACATTCACTAGTGTGTTCTCCATTTCTGTGCCTTGTCTCAAACTGTTCTCTTTGCCTACATTCATTTGCCCAAATGCCATCCACTCCTCCAAATACAAATCAGTGATTCTCAGCTATAAGGATGCTAAATATCCATCTAGTTGATACAAATACCTGGGCCCAAACTTACTGAATCAGATTCTGCACAAGTATGTACTTTCTTTTTTTTTTTTTTTTTTTTTTTTTTTTTAAATTTATTTATTTATTTATTTATTTATTTTATCACAACCATAGTGTATCTTTTTTTTTTTTTTTTTTACATGTATTCCCCATCCCGGTCCCCCCTCCCACCTCCCTCTCCACCCAATCCCTCTGGGTCTTCCCAGTGCACCAGGCCCGAGCACTTGTCTCATGCACCCAACCTGGGCTGGTGAACTGTTTCACCCTAGATAATATACGTGTTTCAATGCTGTTCTCTTGAAACATCCCACCCTCGCCTTCTCCCAGAGTCCACAAGTCTGTTCTAAACATAGGAGTCTCTTTTTCTGTTTTGCACATAGAGTTATCGTTACCATCTTTCTAAATTCCATATATATGTGTTAGTATACTGTAATGGTCTTTATCTTTCTGGCTTACTTCACTCTGTATAATGGGCTCCAGTTTCATCCATCTCATTAGAACTGATTCAAATGAATTCTTTTTAATGGCTGAGTAATATTCCATGGTGTATATGTACCACAGCTTCCTCATCCATTCATCTGCTGATGGGCATCTAGGTTGCTTCCATGTCCTGGCTATTATAAACAGTGCTGCGATGAACATTGGGGTACACGTGTCTCTTTCAGATCTGGTTTCCTCGGTGTGTATGCCCAGAAGTGGGATTGCTGGGTCATATGGCAGTTCTATTTCCAGCTTTTTAAGAAATCTCCACACTGTTTTCCATAGTGGCTGTACTAATTTGCATTCCCACCAACAGTGTAAGAGGGTTCCCTTTTCTCCACACCCTCTCCAGCATTTATTGCTTGTAGATTTTTGGATAGCAGCCATCCTGACTGGTGTGTAATGGTACCTCATTGTGGTTTTGATTTGCATTTCTCTGATAATGAGTGATGTTGAGCATCTTTTCATGTGTTTGTTAGCCATCTGTATGTCTTCCTTGGAGAAATGTCTGTTCAGTTCTTTGGCCCATTTTTTGATTGGGTCATTTATTTTTCTGGAGTTGAGCTGGAGGAGTTGCTTGTATATTTTTGAGATTAATCCTTTGTCTGTTGCTTCGTTTGCTATTATTTTCTCCCAATCTGAGGGCAGTCTTTTCACCTTGCTTATAGTTTCCTTTGTTGTGCAAAAGCTTTTAAGTTTCATTAGGTCCCATTTGTTTATTTTTGCTTTTATTTCTAAAATTCTGGGATGTGGGTCATAGAGGATCCTGCTGTGATTTATGTCGGAGAGTGTTTTGCCTATGTTCTCCTCTAGGAGTTTTATAGTTTCTGGTCTTACATTTAGATCTTTAATCCATCTTGAGTTTATTTTTGTGTATGGTGTTAGAAAGTGTTCTAGTTTCATTCTTTTACAGGTGGTTAACCAGTTTTCCCAGCACCACTTGTTAAAGAGGTTGTCTTTTTTCCATTGTATATCCTTGCCTCCTTTGTCAAAGATAAGGTGACCATAGGTTCGTGGATTTATCTCTGGGCTTTCTATTCTGTTCCATTGATCTATATTTCTGTCTTTGTGCCAGTACCATACTGTCTTGATGACTGTGGCTTTGTAGTATAGTCTGAAGTCAGGCAGATTGATTCCTCCAGTTCCATTCTTCTTTCTCAGGATTACTTTGGCTATTCGAGGTTTTTTGTATTTCCATACAAATTGTGAAATTATTCGTTCTAGTTCTGTGAAAAATATCGTTGGTAGTTTAATAGGGATTGCATTGAATCTGTAGATCGCTTTGGGTAGTATAGCCATTTTGACAATATTGATTCTTCCAATCCATGAACACGGTATATTTCTCCATCTGTTTGTGTCCTCTTTGATTTCTTTCATCAGTGTTTTATAGTTTTCTATGTATAGGTCTTTTGTTTCTTTAGGTAGATATACTCCTAAGTATTTTATTCTTTTTGTTGCAATGGTGAATGGTATTGTTTCCTTAATTTCTCTTTCTGTTTTCTCATTGTTAGTGTATAGGAATGCAAGAGATTTCTGTGTGTTAATTTTATATCCTGCAACTTTACTGTATTCGTTGATTAGCTCTAGTAATTTTCTGGTAGAGTCTTTAGGATTTTCTATGTAGAGGATCATGTCATCTGCAAACAGCGAGAGTTTCACTTCTTCTTTTCCTATCTGGATTCCTTTTACTTCTTTTTCTGCTCTGATTGCTGTGGCCAAAACTTCCAAAACTATGTTGAATAGTAGTGGTGAGAGTGGGCACCCTTGTCTTGTTCCTGATTTCAGGGGAAATGCTTTCAGTTTTTCACCATTGAGGGTGATGCTTGCTGTGGGTTTGTCATATATAGCTTTTATTATGTTGAGGTATGTTCCTTCTATTCCTGCTTTCTGGAGAGTTTTAATCATAAATGGATGTTGAATTTTGTCAAAGGCTTTTTCTGCATCTATTGAGATAATCATATGGTTTTTATCTTTCAATTTGTTAATGTGGTGTATTACATTGATTGATTTGCGGATATTAAAGAATCCTTGCATTCCTGGGATAAAGCCCACTTGGTCATGATGTATGATTTTTTTAATATGTTGTTGGATTCTGTTTGCTAGAATTTTGTTAAGGATTTTTGCATCTATGTTCATCAGTGATATTGGCCTGTAGTTTTCTTTTTTTGTGGCATCTTTGTCTGGTTTTGGAATTAGGGTGATGGTGGCCTCATAGAATGAGTTTGGAAGTTTACCTTCTTCTGCAATTTTCTGGAAGAGTTTGAGTAAGATAGGTGTTAGCTCTTCTCTAAATTTTTGGTAGAATTCAGCTGTGAAGCCATCTGGTCCTGGGCTTTTGTTTGCTGGAAGGTTTCTGATTACAGTTTCGATTTCCTTGCTTGTGATGGGTTTGTTAAGATCTTCTATTTCTTCCTGGTTCAGTTTTGGAAAGTTATATTTCTCTAAGAACTTGTCCATTTCTTCCAAGTTGTCCATTTTATTGGCATAGAGCTGCTGGTAGTAGTCTCTTATGATCCTTTGTATTTCAGTGTTGTCTGTTGTGATCTCTCCATTTTCGTTTCTAATTTTGTTAATTTGGTTCTTCTCCCTTTGTTTCTTAATGAGTCTTGCTAATGGTTTGTCAATTTTGTTTATTTTTTCAAAAAACCAGCTTTTAGCTTTGTTAATTTTTACTATGATCTCTTTAGTTTCTTTTGCATTTATTTCTGCCCTGATTTTTAAGATTTCTTTCCTTCTACTAACCCTGGGGTTCTTCATTTCTTCCTCCTCTAGTTGCTTTAGGTGTAGAGTTAGGTTATTTATTTGACTTTTTTCTTGTTTCTTGAGGTAGGCCTGTAATGCTATGAATCTTCCCCTTAGCACTGCCTTTACAGTGTCCCATAGGTTTTGGGTTGTTGTGTTTTCATTTTCATTCATTTCTATGCATATTTTGATTTCTTTTTTGATTTCTTCTATGATTTGTTGGTTATTCAGAAGCGTGTTGTTTAGCCTCCATATGTTTGAATTTTTAATAATTTTTTTCCTGTAATTAAGATCTAATATTACTGCACTGTGGTCAGAAAAGATGACTGGAATGATTTCAATCTTTTGGAATTTACCAAGACTAGATTTATGGCCCAGGATGTGATCTATTCTGGAGAAGGTTCCGTGTGCACTTGAGAAAAAGGTGAAGTTGATTGTTTTGGGGTGAAACGTCCTATAGATGTCAATTAGGTCTAGCTGCTCCATTGTGTCCTTTAAAGTTTGTGCTTCTTTTTTCATTTTCTGTTTAGTTGATCTGTCCATAGTTGTGAGTGGGGTATTAAAGTCTCCTACTATTATTGTGTTACTATTAATTTCCTCTTTCATACTCGTTAGCGTTTGCCTTACATATTGCGGTGCTCCTATGTTGGGTGCATATATATTTATAATTGTTATATCTTCTTCTTGGATTGATCCTTTGATCATTATGTAGTGTCCATCTTTGTCTCTTTTCACAGCCTTTATTTGAAAGTCTATTTTATCTGATATGAGTATTGCGACTCCTGCTTTCTTTTGGTCTCCGTTTGCATGGAATATTTTTTTCCAGCCCTTCACTTTTAGTCTGTATGTGTCCCTTGCTTTGAGGTGGGTCTCTTGTAGACAGCATATATAGGGGTCTTGCTTTTTTATCCATTCAGCCAGCCTTTGTCTTTTGGTTGGGGCATTCAACCCATTTACATTTAAGGTAATTATTGATAGGTATGGTCCCGTTGCCATTTATTTTGTTGTTTGGGGTTCACGTTTATACCACCTTTCTGTGTTTCCTGTCTAGAGAAGATCCTTTAATATTTGTTGAAGAGCTGGTTTGGTGGTGCTGAATTCTCTCAGCTTTTGCTTGTCTGTAAAGCTTTTGAGTTCTCCTTCATATCTGAATGAGATCCTTGCTGGGTAGAGTAATCTAGGTTGTAGGTTATTCTCTTTCATTACTTTAAGTATGTCCTGCCATTCCCTTCTGGCCTGAAGGGTTTCTATTGATAGATCGGCTGTTATCCTTATGGGAATCCCTTTGTGTGTTATTTGTTGTTTCTCCCTTGCTGCTTTTAATATTTGTTCTTTGTGTTTGATCTTTGTTAATTTGATTAATATGTGTCTTGGGGTGTTTCGCCTTGGGTTTATCCTGTTTGGGACTCTCTGGGTTTCTTGGACTTGGGTGGCTATTTCCTTCCCCATTTTAGGGAAGTTTTCAGCTATTATCTCCTCGAGTATCTTCTCATGGTCTTTCTTTTTGTCTTCTTCTTCTGGGACTCCTATGATTCGAATGTTGGGGCGTTTCACATTGTCCCAGAGGTCCCTGAGGTTGTCCTCATTTCTTTTGATTCTTTTTTCTTTTTTCCTCTCTGCTTCATTTATTTCCACCATTTTATCTTCTAACTCACTTATCCTATCTTCTGTCTCTGTTATTCTACTCATGGTTCCCTCCAGAGTGTTTTTGATCTCATTTATTTCATTATTAATTTTTAATTGACTTTTTTTTATTTCTTCTAGGTCCTTGTTAAACATTTCTTGCATCTTCTCAATCTTTGTCTCCAGGCTATTTATTTGTAACTCCATTTTGTTTTCAAGATTTTGGATCATTTTTATTATCATTATTCTAAATTCTTTTTCAGGTAGATTCCCTATTTCCTCCTCTTCTGTTTGACTTGGTGGGCTTTTTTCATGTTCCTTTAGCTGTTGGGTATTTCTCTGCCGTTTCATCTTGTTTAGATTGCTGTGTCTGGAGTGGGCTTTCTGTATTCTTGTGGTCTGAGGTTCCTTTTTATTGTGGAGGTTTCACCCAGTGGGTGGGGTTGGACGATTGGTTTGTCAAGGTTTCCTGGTTAGGGAAGCTTGTGTCAGCGTTCTGGTGCGTGGAATTGGATTTCTTCTCTCTGGAGTGCAATGGAGTGTCCAGTAATGAGTTTTACGATGGATCTATGTGTTAGGTGTGACTTTGGAGAGCCTGTATGTTGACACTCAGGTCTATGTTTCTGCGTTGCTAAAGAATTTGCGTGGTATGTCTTGTACTGGAGCTTATTGGCTCTTGGGTGGTGGTTGGTTTTGGTGTAGGTATGGAAGCTTTTGGATGGTCTCTTATTCCTTAATGTTCCGTGTAGTCAGGAGTTTTCTGGTTTTCTCAAGATTTGGGCTTAAGTCTCCTGCCTCTGGATTTCAGTTTTGTTCTTCCAATAGTCTCAAGACTTCTCCAACTATACAGCACTGATAATAAAACTTCTAGGTTAATGGTGAAAAGATTCTCCACCGTGAGAGACAACCAGAGAGGTTCACAGAGTTACATGAAGAATAGGAGAGGGAGGAAGGAGATAGAGGTGATCAGGAGGAGAAAAAGGGGACTCAAGAGGAGAGAGACAGATCTACACAGTTATCTGTTCCCAAAGTGTTCTCCGTAGCCCAGACACCCACAAAGATTCACAGAGTTGGATTGGGAAGAGAAGGGGAAAGGAGGAAATAGAGGTGTTCCGAGGTAGAAAACAGAGAGTCAAAAGTGGGAGAGTAATCACCACACTCCTGAATAGAAATGGGAACTGAATATTGGATTCTTAAATGACCAAAATTTATATCACCTACTACTGAAAAACAAAGATTAAAAATCTAGTGTAGAGGTTAGACTCTTTGAAATACAATATTTAAAAACAAAAACAAACAAACAAAAAATTTAGAAATGTATATGAAGTTTGATTTAAAAATAGGGTTTCTCTCTCTCTCTCTTTTTTTTTTTTTTTGGCAAGGTTATAGTGAAATGAAAATGAAAATTAAGGAATAATAGAGGAGTATTAAAGGACTTTAAAATAGGAGAGAAAAACAAGAAAAAGAAAAAAGAAAGAAAAAAAAATTTTTTTTTTTCCCCTAATTAAAAAAATCGTAAAAATATATGAAAATGAAAGTTGAGGAGTAATGGGGGAGTAATAGGGAATTTTAAAAGAAAATAAAAGAGAAAAAATTTTAAAAAATTAAAAAAAAAGATAGAAAAAAAATTTTTTTTTTTAATTAAAAAAAAAATATATATATATATCTAGGAATTTCTCTGGAGTTGTTGCAGTCGGCGTAGGTTCAGTTCAATTTCAGATAGCTCCTCTTTCCAGCTTACACTTCTCGATATCTGTAGGCCCCTTCTGGTGTAGTCGGTGTTACCTTCAGGGATTTTAGTCTGTTGCACCAGTCCTTTCTGAAGCGGTTCCCTTTGTTTATTTGGCTTCTGTTTGCCGTCTCTTCGGTGTCTAATTTCCGCCCTGACACAGGCGGGTGGAGGTGATCTCTTATTTAGGTTCTCTAGTTCAGTTCAGTCCTGCTACGGGGAGGGCGGGCGCTGCAGACAGATACCGCTCTGTGTGGATAGCACTCACCGTGTTCCGGCCACACTGGGTTTGCCCCGCTCACGGGTGTGTCAGTGCTTTTGCCGTCTACACTGCTCAGGCTCCCGGCTGCTCTATATGGAGCGGGTCCTTCGTTGAGTGCGGTTCCAGATTTCGGGTACTCCACAAAAGCGCAGATTCGGTTGCGCCTGCGTTTTGTGCCTTCCCCGGCCTGAGCGGTTCAGGCAGCCAGAGGCTTGGGCGTACTCTCCCTGGGTGCGGCGCGCCTTTTCCCTCCGCGTCGAGGGGCCCAGGCAGCCAGAGGCTTGGGCGTACTCTCCCCTGGTGCGGCGCGCCTTTTCCCTCCGCGTCGAGGGGCCCAGGCAGCCAGAGGCTTGGGCGCACTCTCCCCTGGTGCGGCGCGCCTTTTCCCTGCGGCGGGCAGCTCAGGCAGCCAGAGGCTTGGGCGCACTCTCCCCGGAGGTGGCGCTCCTTTTCCCTCCGCGGCGAGCAGCTCAGGCAGCCAGAGGCTTGGGCGCACTCTCCCCGGGTACGGCGCGCTTTTTCCCTCCGCGGCCCCAGCGCGCGCCGCCAGTCGGGTCTCAGGAAGTCTTTAGATAGGAACCGGGGGCCTGTTTGCAGTGTGGGAGGGGGTGGCTTCTCAGGGGCTGAGTTTGCCCTTTTCCCCTACCCCCTGCCTCCAACCTCCAGCGGGGATGGGCCGGCTCTTCTCTGGACTTTCTCAGTCCCTTTGTTTTGCGAACCGCCGGCAGTGTGTTCGGGCCCTAAGCAACGCCGCCCGCTCCTCTCCGTCCCGCCCCCGCTTGTTGCTGGCAGGTACGGGCGTCTGGGGTACTTTTCTGCTGGGAGTTGCTTTTAGGCACGTAATCTGTGGGCCTTGTTTAATTTTTCCTCCCAGTTAGATTGCCGAAAACTTCCCCCAGTCCCGCCAGTGCGAGGGTTTCCTGGTGATTGGAAACTTCCTCTATTAAGACTCCCTTCCCGGGACGGGTCTCCGTCCGTAGCTCTTTTGACTCCCTTTTTATCTTTTATATTTTGTCCTACCTCCCTTCGAAGACAATGGGCTGCTTTTCTGGGCACCTGATGTCCTCTGCTAGCGATCAGAAGTTGTTTTGTGCAATTTGCTCAGCATTCAAATGGTCTTTAGATGAATTTGTAGGAGAGAAAGTAGTCTCCCTGTCTTATTCCTCCGCCATCTTGGCTCCTCAAGTATGTACTTTCAAAAAGCATCCCAGGTTGAATCTAACATTAATTCTTTGTTGAAAATCACCCTTCCATGAAGATTTCCTGGATGCAGTCAGTCGGAATCATTCTCTCTCTCTTAACCTCCAAAGCTGTATCAGTATTCTGTTCTAGTCTGTGTTCAGTTCTATTTAATCCCCCCCTCTATATTGTGATCAGTTAAAGAGCTGGAAGCATAACTCATTTATTTTTGGATTTCTAACTAATCATACCTACTGAATAAGAATCATGATGAGCAATCAACAGAAGAGCTAAATTTGATACTAACTCAAGTTTAAATTGTCAACATCAAAATATGAATTTAACATCAAGTATTTTAAAGTGCTAACAAATATAAATTTTGGGGGGAAAGAGTAGATGCACTGAAATATAGACCCTTAAAAACCCATTAAACTAGCTGTTCTATCAGCCTCGGTCTTTGCCACGGCTCAGATGTCATGAGCTGGCAATTCCGGGAAGTCACTTAATCTTTCTGCACCTGTGAAGCGAGAAGAGTGAAGATCAGCTCTAACATTCTAAGACTTCTAAATGCCGGCCTCTCAGAACATGAAAATGGAAATGATGCCTTCCCAGACTATCCCACAGAATAGCTATCTAAAGAATCAACTGAGATTACATATGGCAAACTGTTTCACAATGTGTAAAGCAGTTCAAAACCACAAGATGATGCAGCCATCACAGCAGAGTTTCAAAATTCAAGACTTAGCCAGTTTTCTTATTCTTAATCTGTCAACAGTTATATCTATATATATATATATATGCCAAAATAAATATATTACTTTTTATCTTCATCTAATGTTGAACCAGCTAGATTTTAATCTTTTGGATAATTTTAGGAATAAAAAACTTACCAGCATTTCCTGAATATCGTCCTAAGTGCATTTTAAAAAATTTTGTTTCATCCTCTATCCAAAAATCATCATATGATGCATAAGCTAATGTGTCATCTTCAGATTCCAGTGCCACATGCAGCATAAAACTGGTATTCTTCTGATTCACTATATAAAAAGTCTTTTTCAATCCTAGCCAAAATTCTCCTGTTAAAAAAATGTTTTTTAAATATGTTATAGCATATTTAGAATAACTCTGTATTATTAGAATAACCCTATATTATTAAGTGCTTGATGTTGTTTGGTGTTTCAATAACTCTGAGATGGTGCACATAAATTATTTGAGAGATTAGATGGCCCTAGCTCAAATTATCACTGTGTGCCTAATTTGCCAATATATATATATATGTGTGTGTGTGTATATCTTCCCACTTCTGCTTTACTAGACCAAGCAAAGCAGTTATATATATATATCATATATATATATATATAACTGTGTCATTTTTTATCTGCCTAAATTAAATTCAAAAAATCATTTAAATATTAAATAAAAAGTCAAGTTTTACCTTAAGGCATATCAACAAAAACTACCAGTTCAAATATTATGGCAGGTAACAAAATGATGTGTACCAGTAAATGTAAGAGGTTTAACCTCCAAATCAGCAACTCCTTAAGAAGTATTTCCTGAAAGTGCTCAATAGAAATAATTCTCTCTCTGTCTTTGAGAATAACGTTTCGTGAACTAATATTTCTTTGTTATAAGGCAGCTTGTCAGTTACCTCTGAATGAATGAAAATGTAAGGTAGAAACACCAGAGTATCCCCAGGCTAGGGTCTGTATTTCCAAGATGATTGTAGATCCAGGATGAATTCTTAAACTCTGTAATACAAACTGCATACTTGCATGTTCTAGCCCTTGGCTTTCTACCTCCATCTATTCACTGTCATGGCCTAAATGTGGACACTCCTGCTCTGAAGTACATCCCTCTGCCTGAATCATGAAATTACCAAAGGAAGTAAGGTCTAATAAAATGAACTTCAAAGAGCTGGGGACGATGCGACAGCATTCAGACTCTTAAAACTATAGCTAAGACATTAAGTCACTCTCAAGGGCTTACAGGAGCATTTTAGCTGCATACCCACCTAGAACTAAAGAGTATTCTGAAGAATTAGAGGAAGAAAGGATGATAGGAAGTGAGAAAGACGAACAAGTAAGATGGGACCGCTTGGTTTCTCCTAGTCTGACACTCCAATTAAATGTCCTTGCTATACTTCCCCTATACCCCAACCCCACGTGTAACTTAAGAGACTTTCCTTAATACCGTTTATTTCTTTAATAGGCCAAGTACAAAGCAGCCTGTTTACCAAAGTATATCTGCCTGAAGACATTTTTCGTTAAAACTAAAATTATCTACCTACAGAAATAAGGATTATGTAAGGAAGATAACAATTTAGAGTATGCAGATCTATGACTGCTCGATTCAGATGGCCACACTTGTTGGAAAATTGGAGGTAATGCTGAGAAGACACAAGTATATCAACTGCACTCCATAGTATGGCAGCTATTTGGCCTTCTTTGTGACATGTTATTATATTTCACACACTTTCTAACCTCACTGACATGCAGTAGGGTTTTTAGCAGTAGGACCAACACCACCACTTACTAAATCCTTGAATGACATTATTATGGGATGTCAAATATTTTAAGTTATAACAATAGCAACTAAAAATAATAGCATAAAAATGATCAAAGTCACCTGCAAATGTTCCAATAAATGTAAAATTCTGCAGTGTTCAGAAATGCTAATGTTTCTGTTCAACAGCCAAAGTGATGTTGCTATGGAATATTGGGAACAGATTTTACAGTTCATGTGGGGTTTCCATTTTCCAAATTTTGAGCATAGTGATTTTTACTGATGCTTTTATAAATCACTACTCTCAGTTCACATTATCTGAGCTTATACACAATGTACCCCAAATATAAAAGCATCAGTACTCTCAGTTCACATTATCTGAGCTTATACACAATGTACCCCAAATTTCCATTTCATTTGTTTGTACAGACACAGCACAAATCTCAAGAATTTCAAGGTCCTTGTTCATTCAGTTTTTAATTCTACAAATAACTATTGCCCATCTGCCAGAATTCTGCTGGGTGTATAAGCAATACTTAATAAATACCCAACATAATTTTCAGTCAAATCACATTTCAACAGGCATCTAAAAATAAAGATATATAGATCCCAACTGAAGACATAATTATTTTAAATAATTTGGCTAATGAGCAGAGTAGTTTAAATTATGTTTTTATATTCATAGGATTTGCTATTTTTATTTTTACTAATAATTTGACCAATACAGTCTATAGGCATAATACCAAAAAGAAGAAAAAAGAGGAGAAATGAATAAAATTTGACCTAAGAGGTCACCAAATCCATCCAGATAATCACACCACAGCTTTTGAAAATCAATTATCCCATCGATCCTTTTCTGTATCACAGTCCATCCACCTCCTCTGTAATCCATGTCACACATAACCTAAAATAAACCCAGAAAGAAAAAAAAAAACAACATGCTATTATTTTCATTCTTTGATATAAAACTCATACTTCACACTTGTGCACGTTGCTCAGCCGTGTCCAACTCTTTGCGACCCCATGGACTTTATAGTCCTTGGAATTCTCCAGGCCAGATTGCTGGAGTGAGTAGCCTTTCCCTTCTCCAGGGGATTTTCCCAACCCAGGGATCGAACCCAGGTCTCCTGCATTGAAGGCAGATTCTTTACCAGCTGACTCACAAGGGAAACCCAAGAATACTGGAGTGGGTAGCCTATCCCTTCTCCAGCTGATCTTCCTGACCGAGAAATCGAACTGGGGTCTCCTGCATTGCAGGCGGATTCTTTACCAACTGAGCTATTAGGGAATCCCATACTTCACCCTAAGCCTAGAAAAAGAGAAGATACTACCACTGAAAGTTCCAATGCAACTGTATGTCATTAAAATATTCAGATTTTTTTTAAAATCTCAAGAAATAATACAGTTTGTTATAAAACAAACCTAACTGCAGTCCCTGACTCAGTCAATATATGTGTTTGTTGCATGTCAAGGCTCTTATTCCTCAACTTTATAAATATTTTTCAGCTGAGTAATAATAGTGACAGACTTTACAGTAATTAAAGTGACAGATTTTATTTTCTTGGGCTCCAAAATCACTGTGGACAGTGAATGCAGCCATGAAATTAAAACATGCTAGCTCCTTGGGAGGAAAACTTTGACAAACCTAACCTAGACAGCGTATTAAAAAGCAGAGACATCACTTTGCCAACAAAAGTGCGTATAGTCAAGGTTATGGTTTTTCCAGTAGTCATGTACAGGTGAGAGTTGGACCATAAAGAAGGCTGAGCGCTGAAGAACAGATGCATTTGAATTCTGGTACTGGAGAAGACTCTTGAGAGTCCTTGGACCTCAAGGAGATGAAACCAGTCAGTTCTAAAGGAAATAAACCCTGAATATTCATTAGAAGGACTGATGCTGAAGCTAAAGCTCCATTACTTTGGCTACATAATGTGAAGAGCTGACTCATTGGAAAAGACCCTGATGCTGGGAAAGATTGAAGGCAAAGGAGACAGAGGCAGGAGCATCACTGATTCAATGGATATGAATCTGAGCAAACTCTGCGAGACAGCGGAGGACAGAGGAGCCTGGTGTGCTGCAGTCCATAGGGTCACAGAGTCAGACATGACTTAGCAACTGAACAACAACAAAAACAAATGACATCCATCTGATGTGGCAGAGTGATATATTTCTTTATAAATAACTTTTCCTTTTAATTAAAATGCTGATTTTTAAAACAATGTCAAATATGCCTGTGTGTTTGTCTTTGATTGCTTTTTTTCTCCATAGCCTGGATGGCCCATGTTCAGTTTGAGATTTTCAGACAGAAAAGCATGGTCTAAGCCTCATCTATGGGTCTTTGCAGGTGGCGCTAGTGGTAAAGAACCCACCTGCCATTGCAGGAGACATAAGAGAAGCAGGTTTAATCCCTGGGTCAGGAAGATCCCCTGGAGGATGGCAAGGCAACACACTCCAGTATCCTTGCCTGCAGAATCCCATGGAGAGAGAGGCCTGGTGGGCTACAGTCCATGGGGTCGCAAAGAGTCAGACGTGACTGAAGCAACTTAGCACATGCCCCGTCTCAACAGGCACTTATAGATGCATCTGTGGTGCTCTGCTAAATGTCCTTAAGAGGATCACCATGGCGGACTCATGGAAGTGACAAAGCAAGAAAATCAGACCAATCCTCCCCATCAGAAACTTCCCACACACAGACAGAAAAAGGCAGTGTGGAGGAAGTTAGGGAACCAACACTTTCCCACAAAAGAGGTAATTATGCATCCCACTCTTCACAAAATTAGAAGCCTTCCCTTTCCACATCTGTTCAGGCCCATTTCTGAATCTGTAGGTGAGATAATTTAGGTAATTTAAAATTATTTCCCACTTAATTCCCAATTTTTGACATCCTTTTAATAGATGTCAGGAAATGTTAGTAACTGAGATGAGAAACTGGTAGTATCTACTTAGAAAAATTTTATTGTGTAATAAAGACTATTAATAAGGTATGATATTCACATTACCACCTTTCTTATGCACAAAAATGTAACCAGAAAATTATATATATAATATTAACATGCAATATATAATAACATATAGTTTTGATAATACATAATTTTGAGTTGAAATTGCCTTTAGAAATCATGGTAGAGAACTACTAAGGATAGATATGAGTAATTTATTTTATGCAGTTTAAGAAATGGATCAGCTTCTCAATCTTTCTCACAATTTAGTGAAAGATTTTTTAAATTATTAATATTTTATACAATCACAAAAAGTCATTTACCATCCAAACAAAGTATATCCATATGTAGGAAGAGAAATTAAAGTATTTTTATCAAGTTCCAAGACAAAGTACACCATTATTTTTTAATATCCATAAGCTAATTAAAGCAAATAAGTATTTATTTTGCATAATTTCATCTATTGTAAGGATAAGAATTAGCACCAAATGGACTCACTTTAAAGAATGTAACTAGAAACACTCAAATAGAGAAGTGAAAGACACTCTAATTCTTTTACTGGTTTGTGGTTTGGGCAAAGAATCCCAGAAAACAAAACTTTTGAAACCGGAACCTATACTAATTTATTTGAAAAATTTTAAGAAGAAATAAAATAATAAAACAACTAAAACTAATATTATTTAAACAGATTAGATGCCAATCCTATTCCATATGTAATAAGGGAAAACTTTACCTCAAATGGGTGACTAGCGCCTTCTGGATGGATTATGTACAAACCACTTGGTGTTTTGGTGACAGAACCAATGGTATCTTTAATATCAGTACAATCTAGACCTAGAAAAGTAAAATTAGTTATTTAGGATATTTCCACATATACATTTAAGACTTAATCATTTTATTATAGAGAATTGTCAGTGTTATGTGAAATTATTATTAAAATGTTCATTAATGATATGCTAATTTAACTTGTATGCAGAGTACATCATGAGAAAAGCCAGGCTGAATAAAGCACAAGCTGGAAGCAAGATTGCTGGGAGAAATATCAATAACCTCAAATATGCAGATGACATCATCCTTATAGTAGAAAGCGAAGAGGAACCAAAGAGCCTCTTAATGAATGTGAAAGAGGAGAGTGAAGAAGTTAGCTTAAAACTCAACATTCAGAAAACTAAGATCATGGCATCCAGTTTCATCACTTCATGGAATATAGATGGGGGAACAATGGAAACAGTGACAGACTTTATTTTCTTGGGCTCCAAAACCACTGCAGATGGTGACTGCAGCCATGAAACTAAAAGACACTTGCTCCTTGGAAGAAAAGCTATGACAAATCTAGACAGCATATTAAAAAGCAGAGACACTACTTTGCCAACAAAGATCTGTAATAGTCAAAACTATGGTTTTTCCAGTAGTCATGTATGGATGTGAGAGTTGGACTATAAAGAAAGCTGAGCACCGAAGAATTGATGCTTTTGAACTGTGGTGTTGGAGAAGACTCTTGAGAGTCCCTTGGACAGTAAAGAGATCAAACCAGTCAATCCTAAAGGAAATCAGCCCTGAATACTCATTGGAAGGACTGACACTGAAGCTGAAGCACCAATACTTTGGCCACCTGATACGAAGAGCCGACTCATTGGAATAGACCCTGATGCTGGGAAAGATAGAAGGCAGGAGGAGAAGGGAACAACAGAGGATGAAATGGCTGAATGGCATCACTGACTCAATGGACATGAGTTTAAGCAAGCTCCAGGAGATGGTGATGGACAGGAAAGCCTGGCATGCTGTAGTCCATGAGGTCCACGAGTCACGCGGTCCATGACTAAGCAACTGAACAACAACAACAATGATATGATGATTTTAACTTCTTAAAAAGAAAAATCATCTCATCATTAAAAATAAGAATCTAGATGAACAGAGGAACTGGGACTAAATAATTTATGCTGCAATAAACCTTCACTGATAGCTCACTGTTATTATTTGCCCAGTTGGTATCAACATTTATTTAATATATTTTACAATTATACACTCTCTTGTTCAATAAACAATGTATTTTCAGAAATCTAGGCTTATCTTGGGAACATAATATGTAACAGAAATCTGTAATGATGACAAGGAGAAAATCCAAAAGAATAAGTAGGCTAGCTACTATTGACACATCCTTTCTCCACTATTTGAAACTTCAGATATTCTGGTGTATTGGGGCCCCCGTTAAAAACAAGCAAGGAGAGAGAAAAGAGGGATCATGTTCTTCACCAGAGGAATTGATGCTGGGGCTAAAGCCTGCTCTGTTGACAATAGCTAGAACTGTAGCAGTCTATAATCACCTTCTCTAAAGCATTCCACTTTCCAGGGGATTGTAAACATAAATATTATGTGGATGTGATGCCACATTTTATTCTAGATGCTTTACTTTGTATTATCTCCTGAAGTGTGAAGTGTAGTCGCTCAGTCGTGTCCGACTCTTTGTGACCCCATGGACTGTAGCCTGGCAGGATCCTCTGTCCATGGGATTTTCCAGGCAAGAGTACTGGAGTGGGTTGCCATTTCCTTCTCCAGGGGATCTTCCTGACCCAGGGATCGAACCCAGGTCTCCCACATTGTAGGCAGACGCTTTACCATCTGAGCTACCAGGAAACTCAGATATTATATTTATCTCCAATAAATATAATAAAATAAATTTAATCTTACAATATCAATCACCCAGAGAACAAACATATCAAAGCCTGAGACTTCAGAGCCAGAAGCTTGGGTTAGAGGCTAGTTCTACTCTTTACTAATCAGAACTATTAGCTAAGTTTCTTAACTACTTTTCTTCATGTGCAATATTGTTATAATAATAATACTATCTACTTCATAGTGTTATTCTGACAATATACATATAAGACATTATGTAAAGCACCTAGCACAGTGCCTAGCACACAGTAAATATGCATAAAATATCATCTACAAAAAGTTAGCTGTAAAAAATTGTTTGCTTCCCCCCTTATTTCCAGAAGATATAGATTTGTTGCCTTTCTTCTGAGTTGCTAAGAGATATTTTTATGATAAACTTATGCTTAGAGAAATGATAGAAGCTTACAGTGAAGGATTAATCTGTGATAGAGTATCTGCTTTGCCATCACCATCGAAATAAATGTGAACAGATTATTTAGATTTTTCTGGACTCCATATTCCTTAGTTGATGATAATCATCATCATAGCAAACTCTTATACTGTCTTATCATTCTCAGGCAATACTTTAGGAGATTTTGATGTATTTACTCATTTAAGTCTCACAAGAAACAGTCAAGGTAGATACTATAAGTTCCGGCTTCCCTGGTGACTCAGATGATAAAGAATCTGCCTGCAATGCACGAGACCCAGGTTTAATCGCTGGGTTGGGAAGATTCCCCTTAGGAGGAAATGACAACCCAGTCCAGTATTCTTGACTGGAGAATTCCATGGACAGAGGAGACTATTAGTTTCCTGATGAGGAAACTGATATCAGGAAACAGTGGATCGGGGATTTGAAGACAAATGATCTGACACCAGAGTCCGTGCTCATGACCACCATGTTACACTCTCTTCACTACTCACAAATGAGGTAAAATAACATAATAAAAAATAACACAATAACAGGTGAAAGTGCCTGAAATAGTACCTGACACATAAATGATCTCAGTAATAGTTTATTTCCTTCTCTTTGCAAGGAAAAAAGAAAGATCACTTATTAGGCCGTCAATAAACATTTATTTTCTTTGAAACTTTGGTATCAATTCACAACTGTAAGATATATAGGGCATTTTTATTAGAAACCTATTCCTTTAGGAATTACTGTACCATTATACTGTATTTTAGCATCAAAAGAGCTACATTCCAGTTTCTTTCTGAATCAAGCTTCTTCTTCAAATTTTATGTTCTAATTTGAAACATCTCAAGCATGTCAAAAATACTTTTTACAGGTGGGAGGAATTCTGAGACCTTTTCTTCTACGCAAAGACTGATTATTACTAAAATGTAAAAGGAGAGCCTACATTCGGTTACATATTAATAAAACTATGCTATTTTCAACAGATTCTGAATATCTATAGCCATGGCTTTCAAATGGTCAGAAAAGTTTGCCAATTCAGAAAAGTATGTATTGTCTGTGCCGAAATTTGCTTGATGGCAGATGCTACTCCTCCAGCCTGTTAGATGATAACGAGCTATCTTTTTTAAACAAAAGTTCTAAATTCACCAACCTGTCCATGAAATTTTTAAGTAGCAAAAGACAAATATGAAAAGGCCGAAATACAAAAGTTCTCACCATGTGACTGAACTGGTCTGTGAGGAAAAGTATCCAGCTGTTTTCTAAAAACTTCTGTTGTCAAAAGGAGAACTCGATTCATGAGCTCATTAACCTAGACACACAGGCATATATTTAAGCAAGTATGTTTTGGAACAAAACCTTTTTAGCTGAATTCTGTAACTGATATCGCTAAGCCTCTTATAAATCCAGCTTTGAAATATATATAATGCCCATCCTTTCTTTGAATTCCTCACTGCTATAAGAAAGCAGTAGCGTTAAACAGCAATCATTACATTCCGCACCTTTTACCTTGAACACGGCCTTTATCTGCCCGTTTCTGTATCTGACTGCTCTTGCAGATCTGCTCTTTGTATCTTGTCTGCCCCTTGCCGAGGTTTGTTATCTGCCCTTCCTCAAGCCATCCCCCACACCAGATGCCAGTCTAGTCATTGCATTTCCCTGCTCAACACTTCCATGAATCCCTGGTGTGGCATGATTTAGTTCCTATTTCTTTGAGTCAGTTTTCCTTGCACACCCTCTACCTCACCAGTCACTCCGCCCCCGCACCACTTCAAGCGGTTCCCCAAGAAGGGAACGTCCTGCTCTTAGTCTCCTTATCCAAACTTTGTGTGACCTTTGAAGTATTTATCCATCTTCCATAATTTAGTTCATAATCTCTGTAATCTGGGGAAATTTCCCACAGCTCAGATTTTGAATTTCCTTTGTGCATCTTTCTAACAGCATTCACAACATTTTCAATATGTTTTTCTGCCCCACCCCCAGCCTCCCTGAACAGACTGAATAAGCTTTAAGTGAAGATCCTTTTTTGGTTATTGCTTTCCGTTTGCCTGCACTTTACTATGGTGTCTCTGACATAGTAAGCACTAAATAGATTTCTGAACATGAAAAAAATCAAACAACTATACTTCTTGCTAACTATACCAATGTATACGTACAATAAGAGCACAATTCTAAAAAAAAAAAAAAGCCATACCTGATTAATTAAATAATCCAAGGAAGCTTGCTGCTCATCCATCATGTTTCTTAGTAGTTTTTTGGTACTTCGTGTATAAGAAACAATAGAATTTTGCAAATTCCCTTAAATCATAATAAAATGGGTTTGCTAAACGTTATATTGTTATAGAAAATAACTACAGTAAAAAAGAATTTTTAAATGATTTTGGATAAATATGTAAATATGTAAACACAATAATATCTCAATCTAACTAAATACATAGAGTTGCATATTCTACTTAGTACTTTTTTGTTTAACTAAAGATTAACCAAGAAAACAATTGTTTCAGTACCTCCTAATTTAATCTGATATAAATGAGATACAACATTCTGAATATCAATTCTCACTTTATGAGAGAGAGAAGCAGGAGGTCAAAAATTCATCAATTCTTACTACATAAGAAAGTAAAAGGCAATAATTCTATATCATGAAAGTTAATTTCTAAAGTAAATCTTTTAATTTTTTTCTATTAATGCTATATTTTTGTATAAAGAAAATGAAAACACATAAGCATATACACCCGTAATAAACCTCAGTCAAAAGTTTTAACTGGTTGGTTTCTGGTTAAACTTTCTTACTATGTATTTTTTCTTTTTAAAAATGTTTTTTAAAACAATCTTACTTATAGAATAGTTGTAAGAACAGTGTGAAGAACTTTTTCTTCTTTTGAGAGCATGCCACCATGATGCCTCTGGATATTTCAGTGCATTTTGCACCAGAGACATTCTCTCCAACACAACCATCAAAATCAGGAATTATGCATTGATTACCATGTACTTCTCAGACTTAATCCAAGTTTATTCAATTATACTGATGATATTCTTTATAACAAAAGAGGTCCCCTATTATTGCATAATTATTCTTTTAAAATTAGTCATTTCTGTTTTCCTAAATTTCACTCTAGCAGTAGAATCCCAGTAATAACTCTTGATAGCTTAAAATCTACCTCACTCGGTTTCACCTGTCATTTTTACTTTCAGTCTCACTTTCTATTAGATACTCGCTGGATTTAGACATTTGTCTTAATGGATCTAAACCTACACTCATTGATTTGAGAAGCCTGAGATATTTGTGTTACACACAGAATTAAACACAATAAAGTGAGCATTTTATACTTTCTGACCTAGGAGTTAAAGTCCTGTAAGAACTGGATCCGAACCCCCTCCCCTTCTGATCCGCTTTCTCATCCCATCCCCTAGGTACATATAGTAGATCATAAGAATTACTGTGCTGCTACTAAATAGTTTTAAACAAAAATGAAGATTTTAAAATTCTTTATTTTTTATGCTTTGCTACATATATTGGCTATGAATTTGTATTATATCTATTGTATCAGTTATTCAATATTAATTAATTCCCCCCTCAAAACTTAGGTGAAATTTCCTATTGATTCAGATGGAACTAAGAAAATAGTCCTAGGCAAATTGATAGTATCAGAGCCTTCTGTGGTCAGTTGATGTTACTGGGCTATATTACATAGAAGAAGGAATCATTCATTTACCAATTAGGTAAATTAGGCATGAAGCACCTACTATGTGCCCAAAACATATACCTCTAGTCTATGATGATCAGGATATATATTAAATGACTCAACAAATGTTAAAGTATATTTTTCCATCTCTACCATAGAAATAATAAACCAAATACTTTTTTAATTCTAGTTATCTTTAATACTTACTACACATGAAATATTTTTCTTCTCGTGTAATTTTAGTTTTAATATCACATGATTCCCCACAATCTTCTTTGTAAACAGTAGCATTACTTTTACTTTCACCTTTTGTATTAGAGTCATCTTCTACAATGTTAACTCCTGGAGAATCCTTTATATTAAAAAAAATAAGAAAAAATATATGAAGTATGTCATATTACCTAATATATCATAAATAAGACTCTAGAAAAAGATGTGATTTTAGGACATACACAAAGAAAGAATATATAATTAATTGGTTAATTCAAACTTCCACAAACAAAGCTTTTCCTCTCTTTTTTCCTCTCCAATTCCAAAAGGATTCATTTAGGGCCTACTTTCCATCACAGTGGTCTTGACTGTTACACATTTCCCTGTGTGATACAGTGCTGAGCCACTCCTCTCTCAGGAATCAGGCCATTTGAAGTTCTTTCAATGGATACTAAGAAGGTTCCCTGAGAAGCCTACAACATTTCTTTGCCAGAAGGACATTCAGCCACCAATTTGTAGGAACTGTGATGTGGGGCTGAGGGGAAAATGTGTAAGAGATTTGTCGCTTTTGTATAAGCTAAAGTATTTACAGATTTGAAAGGTAAATTATTCATAGACTTAAAAGGTAGCAATAATGATAACAGAAAAAAAGAATGGAATTTTTCTTTGCAAAATCAACAACAGATGTCATTTTAAAAAGCCAGCAACGTTATATCTAAAATGGATAAACAATGAGGTCCTACTGTGTAGCGCAGGGAACTATATTCAATACCCTATAATAAACCATAATGGAAAAGAATATGAAAAAGGATACTTATTTTATATATGTATGATATAAATATATATAACTGAATCACTGTGCTGTATAGCAGAGATTAACACAACATTATAAATCAACTACACTTCAGTAAAACACATTTTTAAAAATTAAACTAAAATCAAAAGCTAACAACCAACTATAAACTTTTGAATACCAGTGGGGACAAGGAAAGAGAGAGGGACAAGGTAGGAGTTAGGAGAGTAAAAAGTACAGACTACTATGTTCAAAAAAAAAGAAAAAAAAGCCAATTACAGCTGTCATTCCAAATGTATCAGTTCTTATCGGTACACTGTTGGCTTTTTTTAATGTTAAAGCATACATTACCAGTTCTTTATTATTAAAACATTCTTTGGTAGAAGTTATAAGATTTAAATAACTGTAATTAAAATAAAATAATAACAAGATCTGTCATCTTTGACATGGATATTGAGAGAAAAGTAAAGAGCTAATCACATAATTTAAAAGATATTTGCCCCAAATACATTTTGCTACAAAGATCTACTTTTAACTTTTGCTCTTTCCCCTAAACTCCTACAACAATTGACATATTAGCTGTTTTCAAAAACAGCTATATTTTACAACTATATTTTTTAGATCTAAATAAGATTCTTAAATTTTTAGCAGAGAGAATTCTTACTAATATTTCTGTAGCTTTCTTAGAATTTATCCTTGCTTCAACTTTGGAATTTGGTATTGATACAGTGGTAAATACATTTTATAACATTTAAATATTATAAACCAATATTTAAATTATAGAGATTCAAATCACCATCTACTCATAGTATTGAATAGTCTTAGCTATCACTCTGACATTGCTCTGAATACAATTTTTTAATTTTAAATTTTAAAATTTCCTGAGTAACCAGGCATTACACTGTGTTTGAAGTATGAAAGTTTATAGAACAGTTTTTTTTTTAAGTAAAATGAACTTTTCATTGCCTACCAGATATTTCATTATTAAAGTTAAGTGGAAAGTTGTTGGCTAGTTTTTAACCTAGGTCTGCAATTTCTTTAACAATTTTTTACAAGAAATGTGTTAAGAGGCAATCTTCAGTTTATAGTTTCCTAAGTTTAAAAATAATATTATTTAAGCATGTCTCAGCATTTCTAAATAAACACTTTAATTTTTCCATAAATTATACTGAGTGCTGTAATTAATCTTGTCAAACACCTAGTATATATCTTAAAAACTATATAATCATGCTTTCTTAACTAAAATAACATTGCTGAAATTCTTACCGTAGAATGATGCACACAGTTGTCTTGTATAGCTTCTCCACAAGTGAAAATACATAGATTTAAAAACAAGAGTGAGGCTTGGAAAAGATAAATCATATTTTTCTTGGTTGGAGAAATGAAAATTTTCTTCAAATATCAGTTAGCTCTGTGTGGAAAGAGCTCCAGTACATTGAGTCTTCAGTCAAAAATTTCTGGAAGGTGTACAACAAAAACAGAAGCCAGTACTTACTGGTTTCCATGCCCTCGTTTGAAACAACACCCTTCATATAAGGAATAAGGTAGCCTCCAGCGATCCCATCATTCTAAGTTATACAAACCCTTTTTATCACTACATGTCTGCATTGTAAATTCATGCTTTTGGAATATAAGCAATAGCTGGCCAGCTAGCTAACTAAATCAAGCAACCAACCAAGAATTTCTAGAATTATCCAAGTTTTATGAGCCAGGAATTTTTTTCCTTAGAAAAAAATTCTTTTGATAATGTGTCTCTTACTGTGAACCAGTTTGCATAAAAATAGCAAGAAAGTAGAAGTTCAGTTTCTAATTAAATGATGGAGTGGAAGACTAATACATTTACTAATACAAATAACTATTTCTACAAAATACTAAGTAGAAATTTAATCAGTGTGGACACCCAGAGCAGATAGTTCAGACTTAAAACATTCTTACAACTGAACGTAGCTATCAATGATGGTCATATTAACCACCTAAACCAAATTCCTAGGATTCTAACTGATTTGTATGTTTTACATCAATAGTGTTAAAATTTCAACAATTGTGAATATAAGGGCACTGTTGTTAATGAAAATCACTACTCTCTGAAAGTTGATAGATCAATGTCTTTGATGAATTTTCAAATTCTCCATAATAGTAGCTCCTTCTTTTCCCTATAGAAACATGCCTAAGTCTTCATTACCTTAAATTTAAGACTTTCCTGAGTTTTGTTTCCTATTCAAGGTATTCTCTCCATTTCCATTCTTAGCCCAAGAACCACACGATAGAGATGACAGTTTTTATGGCACTTGCATAGTGAGTGGTATGCTCTGGGCACTAACACAGCAATTAAGGAAGTAATATCTTAAGATTATTTTCTTACTTTACATCCTCACTACCCACTACTTAAATGCAAGCACTCTCATCTCTTATTCTACTGAAAATTTCTCAGTTTCTCCCAAGAGGCAATATGGGGTGGTTGAGAGTGCCGGCTCTGGTACCAGAATTCTTGGATGAATCTTGATTCACCACTCCCTTGCTCTGGAAACTTGGGCATAGTTACCTAATATCATGATAGCTTACTTTCTTTGTAGAATGGGGATTGTTGTGAGGATTCAATTATTTAATGTATGTAAGCATCAGGCAGAGTGCAAGAGAAATGACAAGTATTCAAGTGTTAGGTGGTATCATTATTATTTTTATTATCATCATTATTTTTGAGTATTAATCCTTAATCTTAAATTTCTAGTTGAAGTCTTATAAAATTGAAAAGAAGATGGCAGAACTTTAGTAATTTTAAACCAGCCAGACGTTAAAATACTTTGTTCTTTCACAGCTTGCCCACAGACAAATTCAGGAAATTCTTACTTGAGCAAGAAAATACTTCAGCAGAAAAAGTAATAGCCTCAGCAAGAAAATACTTCGATAGAAGAAAAAAATAACCTCAGCCAAGAAGAACTGAAAGCTCAAGAAATTGTCCATCACACACTGCCTCATATAATTCACAAGGCTATGACAGTACCCAAATTAGATTACTATGTGAACATGTTTTATAACCATAAAGTGGTTACTATATTTTCTTTTGCAAACAGAACATCATTAACAATTTCTGAAACCATGTTAATGAAGTCAGGTGTCTAACAGGCACCTCACACTTAACATACTTGAAACCTCAATCTTATTCTCCCACACTCATCCTATTTTAGTAAATAGCAATATTCCTTATGTAGTTGGTTCCAGTCCCATATCTGAGAGTCACATTTGACTCTTCTTTAAAAAAAAATTCCACTCAGTTGCCACAACCATGCATCAACACTTCTTAATGACTCAGGTTAAATTTTGAAAACTTCTCACTACCGCTTTGACTACCATCCTAGTAAAAGCCTCCATAATCTCTCATCCAATCTACCATAATAACATCCAATCTGGTCTCATTGTTTCTAGTATTATAAACTGCAGACTAGTTTCCCCACAGCCACTAGAGTGATCCTTTTGAAAGATTAAATTAGGTCTTACTCTACTACTCAAAATTCTCCAATGGCTTTCCCTCCATTGGAAGTTGGATTTTATATTAATTCCTTATGTACTATGTAAGTCACCACCATATCGGAAGGACACCCTCATACACTGCATTAATTTCACGTCCTAGGACACTTCCCCTACCTCACTCTGTTCTGGATACAGTGGTCTTCTTGATGTTCCTTGAATATATCAACTAAAATTCTGCCCTCAGAGCCTTTTGTACTTAAAGCCCCCACTGCTTCTGAATAGCAACCTTCATCCAGATATTTGAGTGGCAACCTTCTTTCTTCATTCAAACCTCTTCCCAAATTTCCCATTTTTGGAGGCTTTCCCTGAGCACACTATCTAAAATAGAACTGACATCAATTCTTTATCCCTCTACACTACTCCATTTTTCCTCATAGTACTTTTCATTACCTAATATATTCTGGTAAGAAAGGAAAATAAATACAAGCTTAAAAGCACAGGGACTTTGAAGTTTTGCTGACTGCTATATCCCACCACTAGAGCATACTTGGCACATAGTAAGTGGTCAATATTTATTTCCTTTATAAAAGAATGAATTACTTTATGGCTTTTGATGTGAAAAAGTAATTATATTTAATTCACTTATCTCTTTTAACAAAATATAGAAATTTTTCAGTTCCATTCAGTTCAGTCACTCAGTTGTGTCAGACTCTTTGTGACCCCATGGACTGCAGCACGCCAGCCCTCCCTGTCTATTACCAACTCCCAGAGTTTACTCAAACTCATGTCCATTGAGTCAGTGATGCCAGCCAACCATCTCATCCTCTGTCATACCCTTCTCCTCCCGCCTTCAACCTTTCCAGCAACAGGGTCTTTTCCAGTGAGTCAGTTCTTCGCATCAGGTGGCCAAAGGTTTGGAGTTTCAGCTTCAACATCACTCCTTCCAATGAACATTCAGGACTGATTTCCTTTAGGATGGACTGTTTGGATCTCCTTGCAGTCCATGGGACTCTCAAGAGTCTTCTCCAACACCACAGTTCAAAAGCATCAATTCTTCTGCACTCAGCTTTCTTTATAGTCCAACTCTCACATCCATACATGACCACTGGAAAAAGCATAGCCCTGACTAGTTGGACCTTTGTCGGCAAAGTAACATCTCTGCTTTTCAATATGCTGTCTAGGTTGGTCATAACTTTTCTTGCAAGGAGCAAGCATCTTCTTATTTCATGGCTGCAGTCACCATCCACAGTGATTTTGGAGGCCAAAAAAAATTAAGTCTGCCACTGTTTCCACTGTTTCTCCATCTATTTGCCATGAAGTGATGGGACCGGATGTCATGATCTAAGTTTTCTGAATGTTGAGTTTTAAGCCAGCTTTTTCACTCTCCTTGAAAGAGGCTCTTTTATCAAGAGACTTTTTAGTTCCTCTTCACTTTCTGCCATAAGGTGTCATCTGCATATCTGAGGTTATTGACATTTCTCCCGGTAATCTTGATTCCAGCCTGTGCTTCATCCAGCCCAGCATTTTTCATGATGTACTCTGCATATAAATTAAATAAGCAGGGTGACAATAATACAGTCTTGACGTACTCCTTTTCCTATTTGGAACCAGTCTGTTGTTCCACGTCCAGTTCTAACTGTTGCTTCCTGACCTGCATACAGATTTCTCAAGAGGCAGGTCAGGGGGGTCTGGTATTCCCATCTCTTTCAGAATTTTCCAGTTTGTTGTGACCCACACAGTCAAAGGCTTTGGCATAGTCAATAAAGTAGAAATAGATGTTTTTCTGGAACTCTCTTGCTTTTTCAATGATCCAGCAGATGTTAGTGATTTTTAGAGCAATACTATTTATTATTGCTTAAATCATACTTATCTTTCCTGCCAAAAGATAAAGCTTATAAATGCTTCAAATTATCTATTATCCAAATATTTAATCTTAAAGGTTCTTCTAGAATCTATGCAACTTAATAAAGGACTGTACAACTTAAAACCTGAAAAGCCTGTTTAACATTTTGAAGAAGGAAATAATTTTTTTTCTGAAGAAGGAAATAATTTAAAGATTAAAAAATCCTGTAATGTTTTAAAAAAATTGGTAACATTGTTTTTAAAATTTCTTTCCTTCTTTAGTATCATTGTAAAGCAACATTTGAATGAAGAATGATTATATGGGCGAGCATTTGTAGGAAACTAAAAAACCAAATTATGCTTCTTAATGCTAATACACCATGTGACAAAAAAATAAGAAGTGATGACATACAAAACTAATAATATAGCAAAAACTAGACTTTCAGGAAGGCTAACCATGCCACTCACTTTTTTTTTTTTTCATTTATTTTTATTAGTTGGAGGCTAATTACTTTACATCATTGCAGTGGTTTTTGTCATACATTGAGATGAATTAGCCATGGATTTACATGTATTCCCCATCCCAGTCCCCCTCCCACCTCCCTCTCCACCCGATCCCTCTGGGTCTTCCCAGTGCACCAGGCCCGAGCACTGTCTCATGCACCCAACCTGGGCTGGTGATCTGTTTCACCCTAGATAATATACATGTTTCAATGCTGTTCTCTTGAAATATCCCACCCTCGCCTTCTCCCAGAGTCCACAAGTCTGTTCTATACATCTGAGTCTCTTTTTCTGTTTTGCATATAGGGTTATCGTTACCATCTTTCTAAATACCATATATATGTGTTAGTATACTATAATGGTCTTTATCTTTCTGGCTTACTTCACTCTGTATAATGGGCTCCAGTTTCATCCATCTCATTAGAACTGATTCAAATGAATTCTTTTTAATGGCTGAGTAATATTCCATGGTGTATATGTACCACAGCTTCCTCATCCATTCGTCTGCTGATGGGCATCTAGGTTGCTTCCATGTCCTGGCTATTATAAAC